GTGGAATGCAATTTCGACCTCGCATAGGTCTTATCAACACTCCAAGCGGGAGTCGAATCGTGACAGTACAGAATGAAAGCTTGATACGTTAACCCCTCGGCCACATTGCCACAAGTGCCCTTGGGTCATAGGGCAGATGTGAATTTTATGGAAGGCCAGGCCGTTTCCAATATCACATCATTTGGTGGGATTGTCGATGCAGCAAGCGTATTTTTGCTATAACAATCGACGACGCTACTTATTTTTCGTATATAAGTAGCATATTTATACTACCAGTAAATCAGTCATATGAGACTTATTCACCCTATTTCTACTACCAGTCTTTCATCACAATTCTTCCTAATACTGTTTGCATTAATTAGGTTCAATGTTGAACCAAAACATTTGTGGGTTGGCACACAAGATACTAGGGATATTAGGTCAAGGACCTAGTATTACGGATATAAACAAGATAGACACGGCGGAGACCAGAGCTAGTTGGCTGACCGTAGGCCTATTTTGTCATAGATGTGGTCCATATAGAAAAGACTTGATCATTGGAATTGCTCAGAGGCCTTAGCCTCAAGTTAATCCCCCAGACGCAGAGTGTGGGAAATAACGCCTCGAGAAGTACAGATTGGGTGGCAGGGGTTGAGTAAAATACTTGAACGACGGTGCTAGCAGACGGAATTTACGGGGCAAGAAAGAGACTGTGATAAGACCTGGGGAATGAGGACTGCGCAACAATATGGCAGACTGTGATCAACATTCCCAGCACAAAAGTAATTGGGGCGTAAGAACAACAGCGTAGAGTGTGAAGGGTTTTGATAAAAGCCGCTCAAAAAGGCACATAACACTACATTTGAGTAAGCAAGGAAAAATTGTGAAAGTTTAGGTGTGATACGACGATATTGGAGGGGTGAATAGGTCAGGACAGAAGGAGAGATACCACAACTGTTTAGCGCAAGTTTGGTCAAAGGATTGGATTCACTTGTCTCTTTGACGAATTGTGGTGTGGTACTACGAATGGCAAGACTCACGGACGATGCCGTCGAAACGTTTAGGAATGTACCACGTCCACGGTCCGACTTTTAAAATGATCATGCAGACAATGGACTCCGGACGAGGTGTGTTTCTCTAAGTCTTCCTACCAACATGAACGAGTTGTGAAAACAAGGTCAAACAACTTCTGTACAGCGAAAGCAGATTGCGACTACACAAAAGGCCACACCCTCTTGGCCTTCATGTCTTCGATAATTTAGTTTAGTATACAGTTCAATACAAGCACAATCAAACTAGGCTTTGATAACATTTTTAAACTAAACATAATTAGAAAACTTTTTAATATTTGAAGTTTTTCATGATTTCAAGCTAATAAATAAACATATAACATCGTTTTTACCAATTATCTCTTCAGGCTTCTCCATTCTTTCATTTCCATTTAACCTCAATTAGGTTCAAATTTGATCCAACAACAATAAACGCGTATATGTCCGAGAATGCAAATGCAGTATTTCTCTTGGCCGGAATCGCAGCCGAATTCGAGACTGCTTCCCAGCCAATGGCGCTGCACTACGGTTTCATGGGATTTATTTTGGGCCACGAGGTCTTTCATGCCTTCGACTATGGCGGTAGATAATTATAATGCATTTGGGAGGAAAATTTTGCAAGTATTATTTTCTTGAGACAAATTATAATTCCACCAAAAATAGCAAAAGTATTTTTCCGGGAACTATGTTAAGCGAAACTTTAAGCATTTTCCAGGATGACTGGTCAGTTTCTGCCCCAGAGAAAAGGGATTTTCTTAAATATTTATATTCTTTATAGACAACTTTTGTTTGGGAGATGAAATTGTAGGAAATATGGTCAGTATCCATCTCTTACTCTACAGCTTGTTCATATAATTTCTACAATTTAATGATGTATTTAAGTACTCCGCTCTGGATTTTATTCAAATCTAAAATTATTTCGTAAGTGCCAAAAATAAATATTGAAATGTGACATTAATTTTCAAATAATTTTTTAGCCTAGAATTCTACTCAAACGTTAAGCAAATGCCAAAATTTGAATTACGTTAAGATACCTTCGTCTTTTTACAATTTTAGAATTAATTCGAGGATTTACTTATTATGATATAAATGTGCTATTTAAAAAATTATAATTTCCCATATTCACATTAAAATAGAAATACTCACTAGCTTCGAGTCTAATAAGAGCGTAAATTAATTAGTATATTGTAAAATATTAATAAAAATTAAATCGTGTATTTAGTCTTTTCTTAATATTCAAATAAACCGGCATTTTAATATATAATAAACATGGAATACATCTGAATCTTTATCATCTTCGCATATAAATATTACAAACTTCATCTTCTATTTTTAGAATGATGGTTAAGTTCTCTCCACTTTTATACGAAATAAAAGTCCCTCTAACAATACTTATATTAATCCTCTTCTTGGATATAAGAACACAAAGCCATTAAATTTCCCCTAATTCTGCTATTATTGTATTGGGTTAATCTGATCACCCCTTCCAACTTAGTCAGTTCATCCTAAGGGTTTAAAGAATGTAACCAGTACTGATTTATCTACAATTTCTATCATGTAATCTCCAAGTTTTAACTGTTGGATGGCTACATTCCCAGACTTTTCACCGATCTCGTCTAGGAATCTGAAAACCCGATTGAGT